TATCTCAGCAACAGGAAACAATTTGTTCGTGCTGACCATTTCTCATCCGAAACTTTAGAAATTACAAGTGGCGTACCACAAGGATCGTTGATTGGTCCATTATTCTTCTGTATCTTCATAAATGATCTTCCTGAAGTATTGAAATTTAGTGACCCATTTATCTTTGCAGACTACCTAAAATTACTAGCAGTGAATGTAGACACAAAGGACATCCAGCAGGACCTAAAAAGCGTTGAAAACTGGGTAGACAAAAACAAGATGAGTCTGGCACTGGACAAATGTTTTAAAGTCGAATTTAGAGGAAATCAACACGAATTCATTCTTTGTGAAACAGCATTGGAAAGCTCGAATGTGATAAAGGATCTAGGAATACATGTGTCCAAACATTTAACATGGACAACCCATATTGACTCAAGAATGTCGAAAGCGAATAAAACGTTCTATTGCATCCGCAGAAACTTAGAATTCAAAGTCAAAATGCGCATAAAACTTGGTCTGTACAAATCCTTAATACTTCCTGTTCTAACGTATGGTCTAATTATTTGCAATATCTCAAGAAGCGACTTAGGGAGATTAGAATGGTTCCAAAAGAAAGTCTTAAAATGGATCACGGGAAACGATTCTGACTATACAGAGCAGCTGAGTTTGTTAAACATCCTGCCTCTGGCGTTGTTTCTCCAGCTGAACGAGTTACTGATGATGGCAAAATTCATGCTTGAAGAAAACGATCACATTAATTTCCCAGCAAAAATTGAAAATCCAGGAAGAACGAAAGAAATGTTCAACCTAAACAAGACCAGAACTGAAAAAGCTAGAGGAGAGTTTACATTCAGGACGTGCCGTCTAATAAACCGACTAAATCAGAAAATTGAATTTCGAGAAATGCGAGGCTTAAAGCGAAGATTGATACAGATGATGTGGAAGTTTTTCGATGATCAATTCTCAGAACAAAACAAGTGCACATGGGTCCTCTTCTGTGACTGCAACATGTGCCGAAATAACTGGACAAAATTTTGAGAACTCTGGGGATATCATCCCATCAGTATCCTACTGAAAATTCACAACAACAACAACAACAACAACAACAACAACAACAACAACAACAATGCAGCGGTGTCTCTTGCCAAGCCTCTTGTCTCATGACGAAAGCCGATATTTGCTGATGAATAACTAAAACTGTTTTAGCACATGATCAAAATTAATTTGAAATCCTGAATTACTTTTGCTTAATTGACGAAACTTTTTCGGCAATGTTTGGGCTCCAAATTCAATTATGCATTTGTTGTTTTTGTCATCAATCAGTTTTTGTCAAAAAACTTTTTTTGGGAAACTAAAATTCTAGGCTCGACTAAAGTTTGAATTTGGAATTTATCATTTTGTTTAGAATTTTCTATCGCACCGATTTTGATAAAAACTAAACACGATTGCCTCGACCTAGAGTCCAATATGTACAGAATACTCCATCAAGTGTTGAGTGAGCCCTAACCAAAACTTTAGTTTTTATTTTTTTTTCAGTTCTTCGTTTTGCAATGAATACTGTAGGTCAACATGGAACTGGACTTTTTTGCAGCTTGAACGAGTTCGCGGCTTGAACGATATTATGGCTTGAACGGAAAAAAAACTCGAGCTCCAATTTTATCTAGTTTTGAGTTATGTTAATGCATGAGTTCCAATTTATGGTAGTTTTCTTTTTTGAACAATAACTGACATGATTCGTGGAATTCATGAAATTAGACGTTTCGATTTTCATTTTATCGCAATTTGAAATGCAATTTTTTTTATTTTGGTCCCGAAAGGGAATGAATATGGGAATTAATACTACTCTCCGTCTTATGATAGTACACTTTTGTCCCTTTTTTGCGATGCAGCGGTGTCTCTTGCCAAGCGGCTAGTGGTTTTATTTGTTGATTCTTTGCCTGTAGGCAAACTATCCGGTTTTGGGGTATATTGTCATACAATTTTCCTGGTGCTGTCATGATTAGATTTGGATTGCACTTTTATTGGAGTTTGGATGGTAGAAAAAATTGTCAAAGCACCGTCTACCAGTCAAATGGCGGGTCTGACCATGGCTTTGACCAGAAGTTCAAGTTACGATAGCTTGACTCTTTCTTAATTCATCACTGAGTGAGTTTTGCTGGCTTTGTGTTATCTGTAATGGCGTTTTGGTCGATAGTTGGTCTTGAAAATCAATGGCTACATGACGAAAGCCGATATTTGCTGATGAATAACTAAAACTGTTTTAGCATATGGTCGAAATTATTTTGAAGTCCTGTTTTTACTTCTGCTTAATTGATAAAAAATTTTCGACAATGTCTGGACTGCCATTTCGATTATGCATTTTTTGATTTTGTCGTCGATCATTTTTCGTCAAAAGCTTTTTTTAGAAATTAAAATTCTAGGCTCGACTAAAGTTTGAACTTGGAATTCATCATTTTGTTTCGACTTATCTAACGCACCAATTTTGCTAAAAACTAAACACGATTGCCTCGACCCAGATTCCAATATGTACAGAATACTCCATCAAGTGTTGAGTGAACCCTAACCAAAATTTTAGTTTTTTTTACTCAGTTCTTCGTTTTGCAAAGATTACTGTAGATCAACATGGAACTGGACTTTTTTGCAGCTTGAATGAGTTCGCGGCTTGAATGATATTGCGGCTTGAACAAAAAAAAAGACTCGACCTCCAATTTTATTGAGTTTCGAGTTATGTTAATGCATGAGTTACTTTATGGTAGTTTTCTTTTTTGAACAATAACTGACATGATTCGTGGAAGTCATGAAATTAGGCGCATCTATGTTCATGTCAGCACAATTTTGCAGGAACTTTTTTCTTTTGGTCCCAAAAGGGAATGAATACGGGAATTAATAGTACTCTCCGCCTTATGATAGTACACTTTTGTGCCGTTTTTTGCGATGCAGCGGTGTCTCTTGCCAAGCGGCTATTGGTTTTATTTGTTGATTCTTTGCCTGTAGGCAAACTATCTGGCTTTGGGGTATATTGTCATGCGCTTTTCCTAGTACTGTCATGATTAGATTTAGAATTCACTTTTATCGGAATTTGAATGGTAGAAAACAAAAACGTCGAATTCCCGTCTCCCAGTCAAATATCTGGTCTGACAATTGCTTTGACCAGAATTTCAAGGTAGGATAACTTGATTCTTTGAGTGACATTTGATGGTTTTGTGATTTCTGCAATGATTTTTTGGTCGATAGTTGCTCTTGGAACTGAATGGCTACATGATGAAGGCCGATATTTGCAGCTGAATAACTGAAACTGTTTTAGGATCTGGTCATAATTAGTTCGAAGTTCTGATTTACGTTTGCTTTTTTGGCGAATTTTTTTTCACAATGTCTGGGCTCCAAATTCAATTATGCATGTTTCGTATTTGTAAATGATTAGGTTTTGCCGACTACTTTTTTAGAAATTAAAACTACAGGCTCGACTAAAATTTGAATATGAAATTCGTTATTTTGTTTAGACATTTCTTTCGCACCAATTTTGCTCAAAACTATACACGATTGCCTCGACCGACTTTTCAATGTGTACAGAACACTCCAGTAAGTGTTGAGCGAACCCTAGCCAAAACTTTACATTTTTCTTTTTTCTGTTGAGTTCTTCGTTTTGCAATGATAACTGTTGGTCAAAATGGAACTGGACTTTTTTGCAGCTCGAACTAAATCGCGGCTTGAACGAAAAAACAAAGATTCAAGCTGCCTTTTTTATCAAACTTTGAGTTATTCAAATGACTGAATTCCACTTTGTGGTAGTTTTCGTTTTTGACACCACTTTATGGTAGTTTTCGTTTATGGTAGTTTTCGTAATACATGACACCACTTCCTGAAATTAGACGCGTGGATATTCATGTCAGCATATTTTGGCATGAACCTCTTTTTCATTTTGCTCCCTGGTTACTTCTTTTCCCGATGCAGCCGTGTCTCTTGCTACGCGACTAGTGATTTCATCTGTTGCTTAATTACCTGTAGGAAAATTTTCCGGCTCTGGGGTTTTTTGTAATACACTGTTCCTGTCGCTGTCGTGATTAGATTTGGTTCGCGCTTTTATAAGAACTTTGATGATAGAAAATATTGTCGAATCCACGTCTCCTTGTCAAATGGCGGGTCCGATGATGATGACTTTGACCAGAATATCAGGGTAGGATAATTTGACTCTTTCATAATTTATTAGTGAGTGAGTTTCGCTGGATTTGCGATATTTGCAATGGCGGTTTGATCGACAGTTGACCTCGAGAAATAATGGCTACATGATGAATGCCGGTATTTGCTGATGAATAACTAATACTGTTTTAGCACACGGTCAAAGTGAATTTGAAGTCCTGAATTATTTTTGCTTAAATGACGATACTTTTTCGACAATGTCTGGTCTCCCAATTCGATTATGTATGTTTCGTCTTAGTATCATGTTTTCTAAATACTTTTTTAGAAATTAAAACTCCAGGCTCGACTAAAAATTTGAACTTAGAATTGATGATTCTCCTTAGGCTTTTTTTCGCACCGGTTTTGCTCAAAACTATACTCGATGGCGTCGAACCTCAGATTCCAATATGTGCAGAAGACTCTATGAAGTGTTGATTGAACCCTTATCGAAACTTAAGATTTTTTCAGTTCTTCGTTTTGCAATGATTACTGTAGGTCAACATGGATATATATTTTTTCGCAGCATGAACGAAATCAGTTGTTTATGAGGTTTGGGGTTTGACAAAATTTTACCGCTTTTTTTCTGTTTTTATCTTTGCCATAACCCTGGAAAAGCCTCATTCTGCGTTAAAATAAATTGTCCATATAATTTTGTAATTATTATGCTAATCATTAGTGAAACTCATTAGGTAAAAATTCCTAATGTGGCCCACTTCCGTCTTTTTTTCTCTGTTATGAAACTGAATTGGTAAATTGAGTTTTTCTTATTTTTGAAGTGTTTTCAGCTGCAAAAAATAATTCCTCATTTTATTTAACAATAATAGTTTAATAGTTTAAATTCTCACCTGTAAAGAAGCATCAAAAATGCAGCAGCAAGCAAAGTGGGACATGTGTTTATCAACCTCATTTTGTTTTTCACAATAATCAAAATGCTTACTGCAAAACGGTGTTTTTTCTGCTCTGTGGTTTATATTTGTCAATTCTTTCTGATTTACAGCATGCAAAAAGTACAATTAAACTGTTCAAGATAAAACACTCATTTTGTTGTCTACAAAATCAAAACGCTTTCTGTTGAATATTTTCTGTAAACTGGACAAGCTGAAACACGTAAAAATTAAAAAAACTTAAAACGCCTGAAACTTAAGATAAAAAGCAAAAACATAAATAAAACTTTTTTAAGAAATCTGAGTTTTAATTTCTCAGAATTAACTCTTCATTGGAGTTATTGAAGATAATTTCAGATCATTTGGTGTTCAAGACTTTCGATCAACCCGTTTGAGGCACTGACTATGATTTTGTAGTTTCGATCAAAACGAAAAAAAATTCAATCTCACTCGGCACTGCATTGATCATTGGTTGTGCATATATGCGGAGAATTGCACCTGCAAACGAATTTCCCTTCTTTTCTATTTTCACAACCAAAAACTAGCAAAATACATCCCTCCGCTTATGAAACCAAATTGTTTTTTCATGTGGTTGGCGTGTCTCTGAAACACGGAGACCAGCCTTCTATATTTTTATTTTTTTTAAAAAAGTTTTCTTACCAAATTATTGCTGAAACCACAAACAATTATTTGTATCGTAAATTTTGGAGGCGAATTTTTGGAACCGATTGTAACAAAAAAATAGTGTTAGCAAAAACCAACTGGATTTCGCAAAATATTGGTAGTTTCCCCAATTTGCAAGTGGACTTAGAACTAAGCTTGAACTAGTTCATTTGTCAGAAAGTAAAAGCTATAGCGTGATCATCAATTAAGCTGGTGAATAAAAATTACCTAAATGAGAAGCAAGAGCAACGTTTAAGAATAAAGACTTAACTATTGTCAGTAAAGTCTAATATTAAACCTTAGACGACTCAATAGAGTATCCCGGG